TTTTCAAAAATCTTTTGTTCTTTTTTGTTGTTGTTCTATCTTCTGTTTCTGTGGTGGACATGGCTATAATAACTTGTTTAAGGCTGTACCTACTGATGGCTACATCTTTTTAGAACAACGTGTATCCATCTGTAGATCTGTGAATCTGGGGTTTTATGTCCAGTCAGCATCCGTGTAACCAGTTAGATTAGGTTGGCTATTTGCTGCAATCAGAGTTTCTGATCTGCTATGTCTCTGAGACATCTCCCTATTCTCTTGACTGCTGTCCAGTCTTCTGCAGTGGGAGAACTTGTGTCCTAGACAGCATTCCAACAGCTGCTGTTATGTCTGGTCTGGATACTTTTGCTATGTACAGGAGCTTCCCAATGGCCTCCCTGTACTGTTCATTTTTAGGAAGAGAAACTTCTTTGTCCTCATTGTAAGTCAGTTGCCACTGAGCCTTGTGCGAGTCCTAGGTGGGCAAGTAAATCAATAATCTTTTGCTTTTGATTGAGGAAGACTTTCTATCCGAATTTGAAGACAGAATACAATCTGCAAGCTCTTTCATGTCAATTTCTTTATCTAGATTTCTAACAATTTCACAACCAGCTTCCCTATCTTCACAATACACAACCAAATAATCAGCATAAATGAGAATGTCCACCCTTAGAATGAACACCCTTAGTTGTTTTTGTCAATATAGACAGGAGCCAGCTCGTCCATGTGTGAGCCCTTCATTTAGGAGCAGTTCATTTAAATATCTCATTCTATGTTCGGGCTGCTTGCTTCAATTCATGGGTGGTCTTCTAGAGTTAACACACAAGGCACTCTTGGGCAGGTATTTTACAACCTGGTGTTGGCTGCCTGTAAATGTCTTCCTTGAGTTCATAATTAAAAAATGCCATTTTGACATCTAGGTGTTCTTACCCCTTTCTTGCATATACAAGAGTCAGCAATATTTTTACAATTTCATGCTGCAGAACAGGTGCAAAAGTTTCATCATAATCTTCCCTGTATTTCTGGGAATTGCTTCTAGTCCTACCTTGTAGTGTTGAACACTCCCTTATGCATTAGGCTTGACCTAAAAAAAATTGTGTCCAATTGCCTTTCTATTGGCAGGTAGTTCCAGAAGCAGCCAAACCTATTTTTTTTAATTAAAAACTCTATTACTCCTTTTCAGTTTCTCTTCTGTATAGTGCCTCTCTTGTTGGTGGTGTTGTTCTGGAAATGGCTGCCCTAGTAGAGGGCTGTTGCACATCACTAGTTTTAGTTAGACGAACATGTCTGTCTCTAGGGCACTGGTTCTTAACCTTCGGTTCCTCAGGTGTTTTTGGACTGCAGCTCCCAGAAGCCTTCACCACCAGCTGTGCTGGCTGGGGTTTCTGGGAGTTGCAGTTCAAAAACATCTGAGTAACAAAGGTTAAGAACCACTGGTCTAGGGGACCATCTCTGTTTTTCTGTTTCACTCTGGCCCGGTGGCTTCTACAATTGCAACTGCACGCCTTATCCTTCAGTAGGCTCCAAAAGGGTTCTACCTTTTCTGGCTGTAGTGGCAGGGAGTTATTCTGGACATTCTCTTGCAGGTCAGTTAGTTCTCTTGCGTGCTTGTTTTCTTTTTCATCAAAATATGGCACATAATTATCATTCATATCGCCAGTTTTAGAATCTAGAATCTTATATTCTTTATAGCCCATTAGATTTCCAGCAAAAATTCTTAGTTCATGTCTATTGTCCAGTTTGCTTCTCTTGACTTTGTGGAAATATGCATATGCCTTTGCACCAAGATGTTCAAATGATTTAGACATGGATTGTAGCCATTCCAAAACTCAAAAGGTGTTTCCTCTGTGTCTCTGTTCTGATAATATTCTTTATAGCCCATTAGATTTCCAGCAAAAATTCTTAGTTCATGTCTATTGTCCAGTTTGCTTCTCTTGACTTTGTGGAAATATGCATATGCCTTTGCACCAAGATGTTAAAATGATTTAGACATGGATTGTAGCCATTCCAAAACTCAAAAGGTGTTTCCTCTGTGACTCTGTTCTGTAAATATGCACCTGTCACAATGTCCACTCTTCCCACCACCTACTCAGAATTTTCACAGTTTCAGGTGCAATGCTTGGGGTAATGTTAGGTGCAAAGTTGAGGGTAATACTGTTGTCAAAACTATTGCAAATTTCCTTTGTTGTCAGTGTTCACAACATGAGAGAAAGAAAAGTATTAACAGTTCTTCTCTATAGCAGAGTAATTTCAGTGTAGATACATGGCTAGTCTGTCCCACAATCAAAGCAGTTACAATCAAATAACTCAAATTTTATTCAAAAAAATTGCATTTCAGATAGGAAGACCTAAACCTTAATCCTATCTAGATAGACATGTGCTTTGGATAGCCACGTGCCTTGGAAGACTTGTAGGTGGCTCCTGAGAATATTAGTCTAACAATAGGTTCTTTGGGCTAGAAAGGTGCTAAGAGTTGATATTTGGAGCACACCAGACCAACAGGCTGTTTGGGACCCCAGGCCAAAAAAAAAAAAAAAATCAAATCAAATCATGGGATGCTGAGTTTTAACTCTCCAACTGCAGCTCAATTGGGCTCTGAAATTATGAGAAGACTGCACCCTATTTTAAAGTCTAGTGGCTACATTTTTAAAAATTTATTCTCAAGTAAGCACAGAACATAGTCTGGATTGGTACCTTATTCTGAATGAGGTGGAGGATAAAGGTCATTTAACATTTGGTCTGCACTGTGACCCTGATCACAATCATTCTCCCCCATGCCTGCAATTTGTCTTGTCAAAGTCATTTAGCCATATCTTGGTCTCCGCATTAAAATTTTCCTCATGTAGTTGAAAATCATAGCTTCAGAGGCAGGGTATCAATTTTATTCATAATGTGTAAGGAACAATGCGGCCATGCCCTGTGCTCCAGTTCATAGCATTTACCAGAGGAAGAGTTCCCTTCTATTCTTTTGCTCTATAAATAATATCTGTGTTCCAACATCATTTTGTTTCCTATCTCTCCCTCTCTTTCCAAATCTCAGAGAGCCAACTTGGTTGCCTTGGACCAAGTGCTATTGATATCCTGTTCCCCATCTCAAATTCAGTTCGGCTCCTTGCGTGTTTCTGTGGCTTCTATTTCCTCTTGCACTCCATATTATGTATCATTTCTTTTTCTCCTCTCTTTATTTTTTCTATGTCACTTGCTCTGTCTTGCCTAGTGTTTCTCTCTCACCTCTTCAACAGATATGACAAGTGATCACTGGTCGCATTTGAATACTGCTCATGAAGCCTCCCCCCCTCCCCTTTTAACTATATACTCAGATATCCTGAACTCTGGCTGATTGCCACTTTATCTCTCCTACACACATACACCTCCCCCCCCCCTTTTTGGCTGCATTGCATCATGACTTTTAGCTTATCATCCTACCACCCGTGTATGACCACCCCCTGCCTCTTCTGGTGTAGCTCAACTGTGCCCTCTAAAATGACTGAACTGTTGATGAGTACAGACTCAACCTTTAGGATCTTTCACAGAACATTTTGCCTAATGGTGGTTAAGAAGTTGGGATTAGCATTAAGTAATTCTTTGATTTACTGGCAATAATTAATTTTAAATAAAAATTATTTCCTACCCAAATGATGTATTTCCACTGGGAACATAGGTCAGAGCTGGGACACCACCGTCCCAAAACACCTATTTTGTGTTCTCAGTCATTGGCCCAAGATGATGGTACAACCGACAGGGCCTCCAATGTACACCATAAAGAAAGAGTGGGTCTATACATGAGCATACAGTCCTTTAGGAATCCAGTTCGAAGCACTTAAGGCCTTTAAGAGATTGGGTCAGAACTCTAAATTGAGTCTGGAAACCAACAGTGATAAACTATGTCAGTGATCAGACTTCAGGCAAAAGACTGACTGTTGCATTTGAATAAATGGGTATTTCCAATCTATTTTTAGAGACAACCAATGTAGAGGCTGGGCTGAATTTTCAATTCAAATTAGGAGAAGCTGGCAAAACCATGTAGCCATGCAATATCACAGGCTTAAATCCAAACTCCTGGTAGCAGATGTCTGCTACAGCTAGCAGACTCCCCCTCCCCGAGGCACCATTCCCACTACAGCTGTTCATACTGACAACAACATACTTTGTAGGGTTTCCTCTCTCTCCAAAGCAGATTTGATGTCAGGGGGAGGTACACTGCAGGGGAAAGAAGAATTGCCTCATCATAGTTCCACTGATGGAGCAGTTCCATCAGTGGAATTTTAGGACTAGACCCCACACGTGTTGCAATAAATCAAGCACATTAGTATGCACTAAAATGTGGCAATAGATGGGAGCACCAACCCCATGTGTTATTTTGAGGGTGAGCTACCATGTCTTGCCAAAGAAACAGCCGGCATGTGTGGTGAGAACAGAGGGAATGCAAATGCAAAATAAGAACTAAGCCCATGACACTCAAAGTGGCTTCCATCTTTGTTGGAGGAGTTTACAACTGATCGACACTGGGGCTCTCTGCATTGGGTTTTGGAAGAAATGATGCTTCTGACTAATTACCAGTTGGTGCCAGGCTGGGGAAGACAGACACTTTAGGAAGCAACTTTTTTGGTTTTTTGTTTGTTTGCTTTGGCTTTGATAAAATGCTCTTAGAGGATGTTGCAGAATCCAGAGGAAGAAAAGGGCAAGGCTCTTTATATACCATGCATAGAAGGTCTAGGGGTACCCTGTGTATTCTCCTTCTGGTACTGAACAACTGCTCTCAGCCTGCTCTTACAATGACCATGTACTGCAGGACAATTAGTAACATTGTTGATCATTGTGATAATAAACTGATCTATTAGTAAATGAAGAAGTCTCAGTTAAAAAAAAGAATAAGAATGAGAATGACTGATCTCTTGCTTTTTGTCTTAGTAGGAAAAAACCACATAACCCAAGAGTAAGAAAGAGAGAATCATGTTTTTGAAAAAAAGAGAAGGGAGACACAGATCACTGAGAATAAAACAACAAAAAGAATAGTTCCCTACCCATTACTTCCCACTGTGTGAACTTTTGACATATCCGCAAATTCTTCCTCTCGCTTGCTACTGCTGTTGTACTGTTCGCTGTACAGCTTTAAGGACATCTGTTCAACAGCATCTCTTTGTGCTTCCAGATAGCATAGCTGAACGTCAGCCTAGAAAAATAAAAAAGAGAAGAAAGAAACCCTTTGTTTTAATTCATAAGGAATGCATTTATAAAGTTGCTGTTCAGACTCAATGACCAACTCAACCAAAGGTTCGTTCACAAGGGTATAAAATACCCCTAATATTATTCTGCTATTTTTCATTTTTTTTTTTTTGAGCAAAAACAGAGCAGATTTTTGTGTGTGATGTGGTATAGGAACCAATACTTTTACTTTGGGGTACCATCTACAAATACTCCTCAGCTCACTCCTCAGTTGTAGTCTTTTTACAGGCACAACTGCTTGATTATGGCCCCTTCTCCATCCCCTCATCCTCATTCTTCCTGGGAATAGTTATCATAGTTTGCACCAAAACAAAGAAGTCTTTGAAAAATGGATGTGTCCCAAACATCAAGTACTGTACTAGGAGCAGCAGCATTGCCTGAAAGTCTGTTATGGAGTGGCAGGTGGGGAAGTGTAGAAAGAAAATAAAGTATTGCTTCCAAGCCATGTTGCCGACACTTCCATCTGTTTTCAAGCCCTCCTCCCTGAAAAGGAAAACCTTTAAAGAAACAGCACAATTATTTGCAAAAAGCAAGTCCTATTTCAGCTCAGCCATAACTATTTGACTAAAGATATTATATTTGTACTATGTGTGCAGATGTATATTGAATCCAGTCAACACTGAGCACAACACCACAGAATTCTGCTTTTTTCCATCTTTTATTGCTCCAAATCCAACATTTTCTTTCCCAGTAGGAGTTCTGATGTACATATACTCCTTATTACTTGTCCATAAGCACTTTCCAGTTCATGTGAAAACTAGGGAAAACTTTGTGCTTGCAAGGGACATGAGTATAATGCCATCCTTCCATTGAAGCAAATAAGGAAGGTAAGTGAAAAAGTGACATGTGTGCACTCAGAACACACATGGATATTTGCACTGGAGGACACTCAACCCTCTCCGCCTATAAAATCAGCTGCAGAAATAACAAAGTTCCTTTTATTCTGCCCATGCAAACATTCTTGATGGCTGAATTACATGTATGGTTACACTGTAAATAAATACAGTCTGAATATGTCAAAGGCTTAACAAAGAGACACATTTAGATAAGGAAAGCAGGTTCAGGGCATCCCTTCTGAGTGGCTCCTTGGAGAAACAGGTTTATTAGAATCATTACTATTCTTTTAAAAGCAATTATTATTGTCTATATTACTGATACAATTTTTCCATTGTTTTTCCCAAGGTAATCACTGTTTATTTATTTATTTATTGAGCTGTGGCAGTGATTAACATGTGAACATGGTAATCGCAAGATTATTTGAGTTTGGTCCCCTAAGAATTATTTGTTCACCCCTGGGATTATGTTCTGTTTATCAGTTGCTTTGCTTCCCCTTCTAGTGTTTGCTTTACTAACAGTATCAATAAAAACAACAGCACAGATTTTTCTGTCCCTCAATTCCCCAGCCACTTCCCCAAAAATTACTCAGCATCTTCCAGCATAATCAAAATGAGGTACATTGGTCCTGCTGTTAGCCTATTTCCTGGTTAAAAAGAATATTGTACAATAGTTTTGGCTTCAGAATGCATGGAATATATGCTTTATGTATCACAGCTGTGTCAGAATACCAGATGACATGTGGACAGGTTTGGCTGTGTGCCGTGCTTGCCTGGGGTAACTGGGATTTGGAAGCCAATATGGTATTGTTTTCCTACAACATGCTCTCCTAAAAGGCAAACACACCAATTAATTTTTGCAGGGAGCTTCCAAAAGCAGCAGCGCTTTGAAACTCCATTCTATGTCCCCATTCACAGTTGTTTATAACCTATTACATAAGAAAGAAGGATCCTACATAAAGGTTGAGGTGACGCAACTTTGCTGCTGCTAAATGATGATAGTCTATTTCAAAACACAAAATAGAGGTAAAAGTACAAGAAAGGGTTCTGTAAATTGAAGAAGCATGTTGCTGACAATGGTAAGTCATATAGCTTTTTGGGGGGAGTATTAGAAGAAATAAATATAAGAAACATATGGAGACACCTGCTGTTGGCTGGATAACTCCATGAGTTAGGTATGGCTGATAGTTCAATTCTCCACTGTGCTTCCAAAGAGAAGAGCTAGCCTGTGTAGCCTTGGGCAAGCTGCACAGCCTCAGAGTGCCCCCAGAAGAAGGGAATGGAAAGCCACTTCTGAGTACTTTATTCCTAGAAAAGCTTGGAAAGGGTTACTGTAAGTTAGAATTGACTTGGTGGCATCTAGTGATTATTAATTAGGAAAAAAATTGGGTAATTACAGCTGATTCTAACTGAAGAAAATTATTGCAGAAAATAACAACTGTTTTCATTATTCTTTAGTATTGTTGCATTCTCGCAGGCAATAGCATACTTGAAATAGACATTCTATGGCTAGGCTAGACACGTGTCTACAGATTGCAAAAAACGAAACTAAAAGAATATATATGAATGATAACAAAAATGGAGAAAGGATGCTCCTTTAGTTGGCTAAGTAATTTCTCTTCTGTGGTATACATAAATTTATTCCTTTAAAAAAACCTTCTCACAAATGATCCATGTTTATTAGTTTGATAGTTTGGGGTAGCTGTTGATGTTTATAAAAGACTTTGCAGCTTTTGTATCGTGCTTGTCAGAAAGCCATTTAACTGAATTTCTTCGTTTTGTTATTGTCATTGTCAAGAGATGGGAAAGATGAGGAATCACAGTAACCGGATAATGTATTTATAGATGTATTTTACATTGCATGACGGGATAGCTCAGTGAGTTAGTTGTTTGGTTGTAAAACCAGAAGTTACCTGTGCAATTCCCCACTGTGTCTGAAGGAAGGAGAGCCAGCCTGCATAGTCTTGGGCAAGCTACACAGTCCCAAAGCAGTCCCAGAAGAACTGACTGGTAAACAACTTCTGCATGTAAATTCTTATATATGTAATATATATGCCAGGAGCTCATGCCAATCACTACTCCAAATACCACCTACTGTCTACCTGAGGGCAAAATGATATGAGAAGCCTCACAATTCAGTTTTCAGAAGGAACATATCTTTATGTGTCTCACCATTGTCAAAGGCAAGTTTGATGAAGACATCAGGGAGGGCCTTCTTGGTGGCTGCTCCCAGACTAGACAGATTTTTTTTTTAGCCATTGATCAATAGATGAAGAAGGGCCTTTTAATGGTGGGTGTTGCTTGCCTTTTCTTTTTTACATGGTTTCTAACATGTATTAATTTAGTGTTTGTTTTGAGGGGGTGGTAATCTATTTAATACTGTTGTGATATGCTAAAATTTTGGCTAAAATCGTCTTGCACAGCTCTGTGTGCACAACAGAGATGATATCATCAGTAGCAAATCATCACTGATTAAAGGTGATTTAGGAGGCGTACACAACTTGTACACAATGTGACAGTCACGTGCTCCTAGAAATGTACTTAACCAAATCTGGAAATCCCTCGACCACTTTGCAATAAAAACATGTACCACACCCAGTTGGTACAAGTTTTCCTCAGATTTCAGACATGCTACACAATATCCATTTTCTCCATCAGTTAGGCCAGATTACAATATTTTATTTTATGCTACACAATATCCATTTTCTCCATCAGCTAGGCTAGATTACAATATTTCATTTTTCAAAAAAAAAAAAAAGAAAGAAAGAAAAGAAAGTCTAGGCCTTATAGAACTTGATAAAAAATGCAATTATTTTGTGACCAATTACTTTGTGAGAAGAAACAAGCCTTTCCACATGATTAGCCAATGAGTGAAGCCATTCATAGTTTACTAGAACTGAGAGCTATAGATTTAAAAGATGTTCGTAAATGTTTCAGTCATGGAAATGTTTGGTCTTTGAAGTGGATAGTGATTGGTAGCCCATAGCAATGAGAGCTGACTGTCAGAATATGGGTGCTGTGGTCCACAAAAGGAACTTTTCCAAACTCTGATAACATTCGTTTTGCTGCTTTGAGTGGGTTGTGCGCAAAAACTATTGGAGCTCTACAGTTCTATCATTCTATCAGTAAGTGATTTTATGGTTTTCCAGAAGCATCAATTCCATTTTTCTTCCGTGGGCTTCTGGGAGCTTATATAGGTGCTGTTTGAAGAAAGGAAGAGTGGGCACAAGCAAGAGAGGGGAGTATAAATTATTAGAAGCTTATCACTGTTGAATTTTGAGTTTATGGTTGTTGCGAATATTATATTTCTTGAAAGAGACTTTGAACAGTAATAAGACATAACCATTTCCTTTTCAAAGAACAGAATCTACATGTATTTGTCTTGGGAGTACGCTAATGTTCTTTGAAGTGCTTACTCAGATATAAATCCTACTAAATTAAATGGACCACATACAGTATCTCAGCAAATGTGCATAGCAAATGAGTATGTTTGTACTTATTAGGAGATTAGGGCAAAATTGCTTTCTTGGACTTCCACTCCCAGAATCCCCCAGCCAACATAATCATTGACTGTCCTGGCTGAGAGATTCTGATGATAGAAGCCAAAAAAGTAAATTTCAAGCTGTGCTACATTTTGGCCCAAGGCAAAGAAAATTAAGCTAGAATATTTTCTAGTTATAACAAGATATTTGACCCAAATTTCTTAAGGAAATGACATCCTGAGTCTCCCTACAATTTGTGCAAATTTTCCTCACTTTCCCTTGCATTACATCCTGTAAATCAGATTTCAGTGTGTCATTTGTGAGCAAATTCTGTGGTATTCTTGTGGATCCATATGGGGTGTTTGTCATTAATCAACATTATTGGTCAAACCAGCAGCTATCTTCTGAAAATATTTTCAGCAGCCCCAGTCAGTGACAAAACGGCTTCGGCCCTGGATACCTGAAGGACCGCCTCCTTCCATATGAACCTACCCGGCAATTAAGATCTAGCCAGGGGCCCTTTTGAAAGAGCCGTCCCTCAAGGAGGTAAGAGGGATGGCTTGTAGAGAAAGGGCCTTTTCAGCAGCTGCCCCCAGACTATGGAATGCCCTTCTGACTGAGATTTGACCTGC